GGAGAAGACTTCTCATTCTGCTTCCTTGCTGAGTCGCCCACCAGGAGTACTGCTGGCAGACATCTATCTGTGTGTGTGGCTGACTTCTTTAATCTACAGTGGTGCCTCGCATAGCGAGGTTAATCCATTCCGAATTAACCCCCACTATGTGAAAACATCGCTAAACGGAACGTAAAAACCCACTGGAACGCATTAAACATCGTTTAATGTGTTCCAATGGGCCCTAAACTTACCGTTCAGCAAAGTTTCCTCCATAGCGGCAGCCATTTTCGCGTCCTCGGTAAGCGAGGGGAGGGCGCGAAAACGCTGCACGTGGCCATTTTGGGCATCCGGCAGCCATTTTAGAACCACTGAACAGCTGATCCGCGGGCATCGCAAAGCGAAGATCGGTAAGCAAAACGCTTACCGATCGTCACTATGTGAGTTTTGCCCATTGGAACCATCAATATGCCTCCGCATTAGCGATCCCGAAAAAGGGATCGCTATGCGGATTCGTTGTTATATGGTGCACTCGTTATGCGAGGCCCCACTGTGTTGCTAAGAGACTCTTTGCTATCCATTATCTGGTGATCACCACAAAGCCCATCAGCCTGCTCATTGCCTGAACCCAACACAAGTCAAGTTTTTGGATTGCCACATATGCGCCCCATGAACTGTGTTGGGTTTTGGGGAGTGTTTTTTTACATGTCTTATCATCTTGAAGTCCTGCACTTTGGCTTTGTTATGCTGTTCTGCAATTTACAAAGTACAGTAGATTGGTTTCTGGTGGACACTGGCGTGGAAGAAGAGGAACAGTTGATCCTAAAAACATATCATTCATCCTCTCCTTCAACCCAACAGGCTGAGTGGACTTCAACTGCTGTTGACATGTCTCCTATGCTTTGCCTTACAGGTAAGGACCATGAATTTTGCTGGGGGCTGCGCCTCCGTTCCAGGAAGGGAAAAAGGCTCACCAAAGCCTTTCTGTTCTTCAACCTTGAGCAGCCTCTGAATGGGAGCCAGCCATCTTCTTACCACCTCCTTCTCACCACTCCTCCGGCACAGCTTCAGCATGTGTCACCCGGGCAGGGGAATTGGACCACCAGGCTGTTGAGCAGCAAAGCGTGCGGCCTCCACTTCGATGTGACGGAGCCGTTCCGCCGTGCTGAAGGAGGCCAGGACACTGAGATGTGCGTCCAGGCCATCCGCCCAAAGGAAGGTGTCTGGGAGGCCTTTCAGCTTCGCCTGCAGTGCCCGCCTTTTTTGGCCGCTTTGTGGCGAAGGCTTCTCCGGCCTGATGGCTAGGTGACCAGAACGGAGATCCACCTTTGCTCCGTAATGGAGGGTGACACCTAGCAATTGGGGGATGAAAGGTGGGAGGGAGGTAGCCCAGATTCATATGCGCACTCTCACACTCCAGTTCAACTGCTGAGATGCCAGAGGCAGCACCATGACAGACTTTATTACTACACAAGTCTTCCTAACTCCAGCAGCATATAATACGTTGAACTAACAGCACCATGACAGACTACACAAGTCTTCCCAACTCCAGCAGCATATAATACGTTGAACTACAAAGCCTATAGTTACTAGTCATGCTGGTTCACAAGACTGTTATTGTACTATGCTACCTCTGGAGAGTGCAAAGTTGGGAAAGAGTCACGTGGTGTCATCAGATTTCAATGAGCTGGGTGTCATCTTTTTCCATTAATGTGAGGGTGCCATTCCCAAGGTTGCGAAGCCACATGGGTGTTGTAGTGAGGGAAACCTCTCCTAGCATCCTGTGGCTGGTTCTGAGGGGAGGCGCTGCCATCATTCTCCCTCCTTCTCATTATCATAGAGAGCGTGCCATAGAGGTCTTTCTTTAGGCCAATCAGAGGGCTTGATTAATTGCCTTTCTCCGGACCAACCCTAATTACATGATGTAACCATTGTCCTATCTGAACCCTATTTACTATCTGTAATGCTGTCACTACCTGTGACCTTGTGATGTTAATAAAAGAGCAGTCTCCTGGGGGCAGGCCAGATCGAGAGAGACCTAGAGAGGAGGAGAACGTCACAGAGGGAAAGACAAGATGACTTCTCATTCTGTAACCTTGAGTCGCCCACCAGGAGTACTGCTGGCAGACATCCATCTGTGTGTGTGGCTGACTTCTTTAATCTATTGCTGAGAGACTCTTTGCTATCCATTATCTGGGGATCACCCCAAAGCCCATCAGCCTGCTCATTGCCTGAACCCAACACATTAAGGTAACCCTTGACATTTTTAGTCCAGTCATGTCCGACTCTAGGGCGCGGTGCTCATCCCCATCTCCAAGCCATAGAGCCAGCGCTTGTCCGAAGACAGTTTCCGTAGTCACATGGCCAGCGTGACTAGGGAACGCCGTTTTACCTTCCTGCCGTGGTGGTACCTATTTATCTACTTGCATTTGTACATGCTTTCGAACGGCTAGGTTAGCAGGAGCTGGGACAAGCAACGGGAGCTCACTCCGTCGCCTGGATTCGATCTTACGACTGCTGGTCTTCTGACCCCGCAGCGCCACCACATCCATTACACCTCTATTTCTATCTCTGCTGCTAACAGTAAGAAAGAGAGGGACATTTTGTACAATGTATCTCTTTTGTGGACAGCGAAAATTATAAGGATAAAAATAAAAGATTTCAGGGGTGTCCTTTGCACTATTATGACATAACTTTTGAGATCTTTTGGAATCCAACCATCAGCCATTCTCACAACGGATTCAGCCGCTGGACAGATGGTTCTCTGTCCTGGAACGGCGCAGCCGACGTTTGCCCTCCATCCTGGAGGATGCGAGACTTCCACGGGTCAATTGATCAGCTGGGATGGGCGAGTGCAAGTAGTTAAAAACGCACTCGCCCTGCTGTTGCCCTCTTTCCCTTTTGGGCTTCAAGACTGGAGGAGTTTTAGAGGATCAGCTGTTGAGCGGGCTGATAGCGCTGGATCACTGCGAAGCAGCTGCGGTCCTATCTGTGGACGGGAGGGCTGCTTTCCACGCACCCCTGGTTTTATACATTAATATAGGCTTGTTTATATAAAAAATTGGTACTAGAAAATTACTTCTAACCTCACTTCTTCGATATTTTTCCCTGTGCAACTTCTTTATACTCAGGGAATTCTTAAGGCATGGCAACTTTCCAGTTTTGCTATGCAGGACCTCTGCATTCTTAAAAATATTCTGCAAAAAAGCTAGGTAAAATTATGTCCTTCTACCTGCCATATCCCTGATGGTGGTGCTTGTGCAAATAAGCTTTTCAAACCTTTGGTTCCTAGATTACAAAAAGGTGACTTGGTTGGTCCAGTTCCCAGCGAGCACATCAGGCATCCTAGTTAAGCTCTGCTGGGCGATTCTGAAGATTCACCTGTCCTTGGAGCCAGAATCCTTCACCCTCTTTCAGTCAAACAGTACACAGTATCTTAGAAGTATGCTCTAAACACATTAGGACTTTGTTTATATTATGCCCCTGGCTGTGTTTTCCCTGCAAGGTTTTTGGCTGGGAATGAAGGCCAGGTATGTTGCAACCCATCAGGCAGCACAGATCCTAAGTCTTGTTCTGGCTCCGTGATCAGGTAGGTCAGGCCTATTTGATCACTTCTGTGTAACTATTTGGATTTGCTGCCAAGGAGATCTATAAATGCTTTATGGCTCTCCTTGAGGGCCATATTTATGGAGCTGAAGTTAAAGGTGTCCCAGGACTGATAACCTATCTAAAGGTAAAGGTAAAGGTTCCCCTTGACAATTTTTTGTCCAGTCGTGTTCGACTCTAGGGGGCGGTGGTCATCCCTGTTTCCAAGCCATAGAGCCAGCGTTTGTCCAAAGACAATTTTCCGTGGTCACATGGCCAGTGCAACTTAGACACGGAACACCATTACCTTCCCACCGAGGTGGTCCCTATTTATCTACTTGCATTTGCATGCTTTCGAACCGCTAGGTTGGCGGGAGCTGGGACAAACGATGGGAGCTCACTCCGTTGCGTGGATTCAATCTTACAACTGCTTGGTCTTCTGACCTTGCAGCACAGGCTTCTGCGGTTTAGCCCACAGCGCCACCACGTCCCGATAACCTATCTAATGGTCATATATTGCTAGAATAAACACCAGGCAAAGGAAACTATGCGATGTGATGAAATTTTCCAGCAGAAATGTCTTGGTGGGGAGCCCTTCTTTACTGTTTTTCGCCAGGTGATTCCCACTGCGACCCTTGTCCCTCTGTACTTCCTTGGGCCCTGTTCCGACAGAGATGGGAGGAAAGCCAGAAATATCACTGCAAAGGTTCTATTTTTCACAGAATGGGGCAGGTGGGTGTCCATGGGGAGGAAAGGGGGAAGAGGACATGCTCCCTTACCAACCAGGGCTCCTAAATTGGTTTGTTTATTTTAATCTCCAGAGATTTGTGCCCAACTAGGCTGGCGGTCTCAAACAATTAGGGATTGCTCATACAGAAAACATCTGAGTTCTGTAACAAGAGTCACACCATTGAGTACTCCAGAGAGACAGACATGCTTTTACATTAGTTAAAATGTATGAATAAAAAGTCTGGTCACCGTGTGTAAAGTCAAATGAGCTGCTGGCTCTTCCACAACCCCGAACCCTGATCAAGGGTTCCCATTTCTCCCCCTTTCCATAGGCCAAAGGATTCCCCCCATTGTTGTTGTTGTTGTTGTTGTTGTTGTTCTTGTTGTTGTTGTTGTTGTGTGCCATCAAGTCACCTCTGACTTTTGGTGACGTTATGAACAAGCAATCTCCAGAATGCCCCATCCTCAACAGCCCTGCTCAGCTCTTATAGACTCAACCTTGTGGCTTCCTTTATGGAGTTAATTCATCTCATCTTGGGTCTTCCTCTTTTCCTGCTGCCTTCCACCTTTCCCAGCATCGTGGGCTGTTCCAGAGAATCCTGCCTTCTCCTGGTGGGCTCAAAGCAGGAACATTTGGGGCCTCCAGAGATAGTTCAGGCAGAATTTAAATCAAAGACACCCCCCTTGTTCATCTTTCCGGCCATTTGGGGTTTCCATAAAGCTCTCCTTGAGCATCACATTTCAAATGAATCAATATTTCCCTGCCTGCATTCTTTCCTCGTGGGCTCAAAGCAGGAACATTTGGGGCCTCCAGAGATAGTTCAGGCAAATTCAAATCGAAGACACCCCCCTTGTTTATCTTTCCGGCCATCTGGGGTTTCCATAAACCTCAATATTTCCCTGCCTGCATTCTTTCCTGTCCAGCTGTCACATCCCAGACAGGGATGGTTGGAAATGGATGGATGGTCTTGCTCTCTTGTCTCCAGGGACACATCCTTACACCTGACAATCTGTTCTAATTCCATCCTTGCTGCCCTTTCCAAAATGGAGGAAAGCATTCTAGGACACGGGGACCGTTTTCCTGAGAAGACCTCACAAACATGGGTCCTGATGATAACTAGCCAAGGTGGCAGACAACTGGTTGAGCTGGCACTCATCTGAGTTTTGGATCAGCCAGGTTTTTTGGATCAGCCAGGGACGTGGTGGCACTGTGGGCTAAACCGCAGAAGCCTGTGCTGCAGGGTCAGAAGACCAAGCAGTCGTAAGATCGAATCCACGTGACGGAGTGAGCGCCTGTCGCTTGTCCCAGCTCCCACCAACCTAGCGGTTCGAAAGCATGTAAATGCAAGTAGATAAATAGGGACCACCTCAGAGGGAAGGTAACAGCGTTCCGTGTGTAAGTCGCACTGGCCGTGTGACCACAGAAGATTGTCTTCGGACAAAACGCTGGCTCTATGGCTTGGAAACGGGGATGAGCACCGCCCCCTAGAGTCAAACACGACTGGACAAAAATTGTCAAGGGGAACCTTAACCTTTACCTTTAAAACCTTTCAAGGTTAGAGAGGTTGGAAATTACTTAGGACTCGCCTCACCCTGACAAATATGATGACTTTGAGTCTGGGCCAGGAGGAGCTGGTAGCCAACAAAACCTGATGCCTTCCCCTCTTCCACTCCCCCCCCTTTTGGGGGGCACACCCTAGCAAGCACAAGCAGTAGGGCTACCAAACCTGAGATCAGATTGAAGAAGGCCGAATTTCTGGACACCAAAGTCATCTTCCCATTCCAAACCCACCACAACTACCAAACCTTTGAGTCTGGATTGGGTTTGCAACCTTGCATGCTGCCTCTAAGTAGGTTTGGCTGGGAGGCACCTTTTCTGGGTTGGGGCCATGTCAATCTATCCAGCACTAACCAATCCACAAAAGTCATCTTCCCATTTCAAACCCACCACAACTAACAAACCTTTGAGTCCAGATTGGGTTTGCAACCTTGCATGCTGCCTCTAAGTAGGTTTGGCTGGGAGGTAGACTTTTCTGGGGTGACTGTCAATCTATCCAGCACTAACCAATCATTCCTCCCCTGCCTCTGAATTCAAAGAGAGCCCCACGTCTCCGCTTTGTGTCTTTCCCCCCTCTCCTGAATCTATTGGAGGCAGTAGAAGGCTGTTGAACAAAAACTATCATGTTTGTCAG